CAATGCGGTGTCCTGGTGAAGGAAGCCATGTGGATCGGATGTGGATCAGGAGTCGAAAAGCCTCCCAGAGTCGGTTTTCCCCCCAAATCCAAACATCATGCGGCTTTGTCTCCGCCGTGAGGTGACGTGAGACACGTGTGAGACGTGGGGATGGTTTGAGACGTGGAGATCATCTTGTGACCGAATCCCACGATTTGGGCACCAAAGGACCTCCCTCATGTAGCCCAACGATAGGCCCATGGTGCATGGCCAACGAGCGAGGCCTTTTTTTTTCAAGGCGAAGCATGCCGTGGAAAGGCCTCTTCTTCGAGTTGAGATACCCCAGGAAGCAAGAAATGGAGCATCATGCAGAATTTTCTTGAAGAAACCACCTACATACCGCAGTGGCCCTGTTGCTGCGGGGACGCTGAGTAAGACAAGCGTGGAACGAAGAAACAGCAGTGTGCGGAAGCTCTACAGTGTACCCCGAACAAATGTCGAGAAAGCCACGTGCTCTAAAGAGGGCGAATGCGCTCGGATCCTTCTGTTTAGCCTCCCAAGACACAGGGGAAGGAATGTCTTTCTGCTTGGCTCTTCTTTTTCCAGGTCCCTTCGTAGGCTGGCAGCTTCCCAGCTGCCAACAAGAACGTAACAAAGCACAACACAAGGTCTTTTGGACTAGATCCTTCGGACATTGACATGGAGACTTCCAAAACCATCCCAAAAACCACGTGGCTTGGAGCTCGTCTTCGGACGCTCGGTTTTTCGGGGGGCCTTCGAAGGCCGAGTCCGGACCGTTGGCCTAGGTGGATGCCACCGAGATCGCCGAGTGCGTGGCCCGCAACGAGCTGGTGGCCTTCACGGCGCCGCCGAGGAACTCCACCGCCGCGGTCAACGTGGGGTCCATTGGGGCGAATCTGAAAGCCAAAAAACATCAGTTCGTGGTCTTGGACAGCTGTGACTGAGTGAGATGGGTGGCGATTGAGATGGTGTGAAGATGGTGTGCTTCAGAACTAGCTCACCTGTAGTTATCTCAGAAAACAATCCGTAGAAGCGCCTTTTGCAGTAGTCCGCAGCGGTCCAACAAGCTCCTGTGTTCTATGGTCTTGAAAGAACGAAATAGAAATAAACACAATACAAGAAAAGAAGAGAAAAGAACATGAACGAAGGAAGGAAGGAAGGAAGGACAGAAGGACAGAAGGAAAGAAGGACACAAGGAGGGAAAACCCGCAGGAAAAGGGAAGGAGAACGGGAAGGAAGGAAACCAACCAGGAAGGAAGAAACACAAGAATCCAAGCCTGTTCGCCCTGGGAGCCTCTGAGGCGACGACGCGCAGGAGCCGCTCCCGCTGTTGCGGAGCCGCATGCTTGAAGCCTCCATCCCGGAGGCGTTGCCAGCGATGGAGGCGGCGCGGCCGATCAGCGCGCAGGTCTTGCACTGCTTCGAGGAGGCGGGGATGAACATCGGGAAGAAGCTGACGCAAAAAGGCAAGGCGCAGGCTGCCAAGAGTCAGGACTGGCGAAGTTGGGTGAACCTGAAGGACTTGAAGTGATGTTTATGGACACTGCTCGGGCTTAGGGATTTGTCACCAACCCGCACCCCCCCACACACACACACACACACGCGAACGATGGAAGGCTGAATTTCCGGCGTTTGCTTTTGAGGACAAAGATCTCTCCAAAGCTTTGGGGCGTTTGGCAAGCTCGCTTTATGTAGTGACTGCCAAAAAGGCAGGGGTGCGGCATGCGATGGTCGCCAGCTGGGTGACCCCTGCCTCCAGCAAACCCTTGGGAGTTTCAGTGACCATCGCAAAAGAACGAGCCATGGACACTTGGACGGCAGCCTTTGGCAGGCTAATAGCGGAATTCGAGTAGATGAAGGGTAAAGAGAACCCTCTCGATTTCAATCCTCAATGGTTTTACATCCATTTCTCGGGAATTTCTACCTTTGACCGTGCGCATACAGTTCAACCCCACGCTTTGCGTCCTCATTCTGCACCTTTGCCCAATTGGCGCAGCTTTAGGAACCTTTGCTTCGCATCGGTGACAGCTTCACCTTGAACCTCTTGGAGGACCAACCCCGAACGCTCCTGTCGACCGGATCCGACGGAGATTCTCGATCGGAGTAGCGATGCCCGCTGTTCCGTTCGATGCCGCGATGCCCTTGGATTTGCTAGCTTCTTGCTACTAGTAATGCCCAAAGCTACTAGTAGTTTCTTCTTCCTAACAGTGGACATGATGCTTTAAACAGAAAACACCTGCTACCATGTGGACGCTTCGAAAAGAACAACGACTGCACCGAGTTCGCGAGTTCGGACCGAGTTCGGCAGGAAGGGAAACCACAAACCCTGGAAGCCATGAAGCACTTCCTGCAAAAGTTCGCGCCGGGCGCCGATCGCTTGGCGGGTGTGGAACACATCGAAGGATCCAATGGAGCTGCCATCTTAAGGCCGAGTTGGATGAGTCAGGGGGATGAGGTCCATCAGATGAGGGTGTCACAGCGAATGAGTCAGGGGATGAGATGAGTCAGCGGAATGAGTGCATATGAGGGTTCTGTTTTTAATAGGAAGGCCCCTGTCTCAGTGAATTGGGGGTGTCCTGAAAAACCCATGTGTCCGACATGGTGCCTGGGTTGGTTGCTTGACAGCCTCTGGTCATTTCTCGGTGATGTTCTTTGTGCCGTTGGCCCCACCTCTTTTCGTTTCCCTATCGAAGCCATTGCTGGTCGCTCGTTCCTAAGAACCCCGCTGCCAAAAGAACCCCTTCCAGAACCGGAACTGGAACGTCGCGCGACGCTGGGCCAGGTCTGCTTGTGCCTACCTGGAGTGCAAAATCATTTCTCGCATGGATGCTTCGGACCATTGGGTGGGCTACGCTGAGGTGGTGGGTGGAGACGTCGCAAGTCCCAACGCCGCTGCTGCGGTGCATCACCGAAAGGTTGGCACCTACTACTGAGGCACAGATGACTGTGCGCCATTCAAACAGATGACTGCCACAATAGAGAGCCAAGAGCTACCTCAGGTGGTGGCAGTATTAGTATGCATTTTTAGTAATCCGGTGACCACGGTCGCTCCATGTGGCCTCCAACCGAGTCATGTGAGCGCAAGACTCGAGTAAGGCCGGGAGATTCGAGTCGGTTCGAGGATTTTCTGCTTCCCATTTGCTGGAAGCAAAGCTGCACCTCTTCTTTTCAAGCACCGGAAAATCGATTCCGACGATGACAGTGTCATGGAAATGAATGAAAAGGAGGTATATACTTACTGCTAGTATATAGTAGAATTCTTTGCATTGGCTTCAGCCAGGGAACGGTTTTTGCGCTTTTGAGATGAACACGTCTTGGTAGGGAGACTTTCTTTTGAGGTAAACCTTCTCAACTGCATGAACATTTCTGCAGATGATGTCAGCTCGTGGCCTATTTGCCAAGACGGGTCAGTTGGTGAATTTGAGGCGATGCCGTTTGCCAGGCCCCGGCGAGGCGATCGACGTCTTCGCCATCAGACCGACCACTTGCGCTTGAGGAAAGATGGCTGTCCAGCTGTTGTGAGGGTGGACGTGTACAACAACGCTGCATAATGGCTGGGTGCTAAAGCTAGTGTTGTGAAGATTGAGCGTTTGAGGCACTGACACTTCTTCTGAGCCCTTTGTTGGGAGAAACTAGGGAGACCTTACGGAGCAAAAAACAATTGAACGAAACGGAACTAGCTATGAATGACATATTATAGTGACAGTGCAAGGATTTTGTACATTTTCCCTCACTACAGGCCCAGGCCAGGTCCTGTTGACCCTTGCCATTTGGATGGGCTGTTGGGACGCACCTGACAGCAACGAAGTGCTCCCCTTGTCCATACCATCTAGAATTGTTGGCACTCCAAATGTAGAAGCACCGCGAATCTTCGTTTGCAGCGAGAAAGTCCAGAAAAACCAGGGTTCCCTTCCGAAGTGCGATTGGCCAAAGTACAGTAAGAGCAGCGGGGTCCTTTCTGTCATGCCGCGGGGTGTTTGGGCTTAGAGCGAGGGTTTGCTCATGGGTCGAGGTAAAGGTTGCACATCATGCATACAGACAATATACTGTTTCATTCCCAACAACATCAAAGCCACGGATGCAGCAGTCTCAAAGCCGCATACAGTTCGTTCACGGCCCAAATTGATCAAGTGCAGCGGTGTGCCGGCGTTGTGCAGCAGCCTACAACCTACAGTAGGACGCGGAGGATGAGAGCATCTGACGCGCTGGCCGGGGTCTTGAGGATGAAACCCGACCGGTGCAGTTGTGATGCGTAGATCATTGAATTCCTCGTAGAACTGCGCTGGGAAGATCCCATGAAATTCGAGTAGTAAAACTGAGATCCGGTGATTCTCATGCACTGCTGGGCCAGTGATTGATTGGGGTTTGGGGGAGTTGGGGGGTTTGATGGTTAAAATCTGCTGGGCCACCTTTGGATCGACTTTCTCCCTCACCTTTGGAGCTCCGGGTGCCTTGAGGTGCCAGTGGAAGGCCTTGTTGTGGACTTGAGATCCAGGTGGGGCAGCCGGTGTAGCCGAGGAAAACAGGAACAGCAAAGGGATCAGCCCCCTGTTGACGGGAAGGTGAGACAGAGCTGGAGGTGGACTCGTTGGGCTGAGATTCCACAAAGATGCAAACAAGTTGGCTTCATGTAGACAGTCTCAGCTTTGTTGCAGTAGAATATGACTGGATGATACTGGATGCGTTGTGGCTGCTCAACCTAGCTTAACCTTTCAGAGCACAGTGAAAAGGCTTTATATAGCTTGTTGGGACTCAGAAGCTTCAAGGTCCTTCAATCTGGCCGTGACACTTTCCCTAATATCCATTAAGGAATAATCCTGCGTTTGGAATTCAGAGATCCCGGTATGAATCCCGAGCCATGGCAAACTGATTTAGTGCTTTAGAGATATGGCCGCCTGCTGGTACTTTTGAGATCATGGATTGTGAGCGGTATTCCCGGGGATTTGCCCCGGTGCATGTTTCTTTTGCTCAACCTTGGGATGATTGAGGTAGATCACATCATGGTGCTGTGCTCAGAATGCGAATTGCAGGGGTCGTCTTTCCATGCTTTTCTATTGTTGACGCCCTACTTTGGGAGGAGTGTCTATATACACTGGTCCTAGGCAACTTTTCGGCTTTGAACCGCGTGATTGAATTACAGACTAAACAATGAGTTTTATAGTTTTACAATATAGCAATAGGTGGCGCGCCCCATTTGCCGCAAAGCTCAGAACCAACAAGTTGCCTACCACAATCGAAAGGGCTTCCTTTTCTCCTCACAAACAGAGCCAGCCAGGAAGTCACAAAGAAGACTGACAGCTAGCGTAAAACCTACCGAAAGATTGGCTTAACACATTCCAGAATTCAGACATTATTGACAACAGGGATTGTGCTTTTGAAATGTCCACATCAGAATTGAACTCTGCAAACGTTCATGGAAAGCAGTTTCCTGTAAGACTCTGGTAGGCTGTGTCAAAACAGCTTTTCAGTGTCTGTGAAGCTTCTGGGTGTGTGAAGCTCGTTCCTGTGCCTTACAGGATTCTTGATTTCCAAGAATAAACGTGTTTTCAGTCGCAGGGCCTAAACGAGCGCTGGTTTCTGTTTAGGGACATGAAATCCTTGGACCCTCGTCACCAAGTAGAGACCACCCAGCCTGTCCCTGTTTGCGCTGGGCTAGGCCGCAGACGTGCACGAGAATGTCTTCAGTGAAGAGCAGCTGCTGCGACCAGATGTTCAAGCGGAGGACGAGGACGAGCAGCTGCCGAGCATCGGTTTCAGTAAGACTACTTAGCGCAGAGCATCGGTTTCAAACATGAGCGGGTATGCGGGCGTCAATCGGTTTGAGAACACACATGTAATATAGTGGAGAAAATAACGTGCTTAGTGACGTAGTGTACTTGATTTGTTTTGTTTAACACAAACTCTTGAGATGCATGCCATTATTCTTATTTCCTGCGAAATGGCTTGAAGGGTGGGGCAAGTGGCAAGTACGAACGGGAAGCATACATGTCATGTTGCACAAACCTTTGGGATTTTGTTCATCACCTTTTCTCATCCAACAAGGATATAATGCGTGGTCATTTTCAGCTGTGTGCGCATAGTCGCTTCTGCCAACAATATCCAACAACTTGATCCACATCGATCTTTCCGTTCCATCAGATCACGAGCATACATGAGTCGCAAGAGGAGCAGTTCACCCGAAGAGTGGCTGTGGTCACGTGTGGGGCCTGGTGTTTTTTTGGGTTAGGAGAAACAACTTGACATCGAACGAACCAGGCAGCTGGCGAGACATGGTTGAAATGCAAACCCAATATTCCAGACCTGCTAAGAGGTTCACGCTGCCGGGTTCTCATTCATCGGATAGGCTCCAATATTCCAGTGGACAACCGCTTCGGTTGATGTTTCCTTTACCAACTGTCAAGCGTGTCACTAGAGTCATCATGACCTGGTGGTAGCGCGGCCTTCGCGACGACCAAAACTCTACTCCTTGATATCATGGGCGTTTTGGACCCTCTGGACTCCCTGGACCGGGACCCTTCTCTTTTCCCTTCCTTTCTGCCCATCTCCAAACAGTTTACACCACTTGCTTTTGAACCCTCCCAGAAGACGCGGAACTCCACCAAGGCCTGAACCGCCCAAGTCCACTTGTCACTCAGAGCCGCCGGTGCACAGTTGGTCACTCAGAAGAGTGGGGATGTGGGGAGTTTGGGACGAAATCTGGATGAGCTGCAATCGGACACATCGGCAGTTGAAAACCAACACATGATTGGACGTCGTCACAACCATTGGGCACTTTTGCTTCGCTTTAGGCCTCTAGCCGGAAAGAAGAGCGTTCTGGTCTTTCGCTGGGACATCTTTCAAGTCCAAAAGCTGCAACCCGCTGAACACTCTAGCCATCCAAGCAGCCGAGTGAGCTCTCCGCTCTCCTGCTTCGCTTTCGCAGGCCGCCGAAAGCGGGCCTCGGACCGCGCAAAGAAGAGCCTTGGACCTTCCAGGGGTTGTGAAGGATTGGTGCCAGATGGTGAGTAAAAGGATTGCCCCTCTCAGAAGCTTTGGCGTCTCTGTTTTACACCAAGCTTTTTGGCAACGTTCGCAGGTGGAGATTGGTTTGTTCGGCGGCAAAAAAGGCAGTGGTCCAGTGGAAAACCCACGGGAATGATTTGCTGTATGGGCTGGCAACAGGCGAACACCATGATACATTAGAACAACTCCTCCAACATGCTAGAGCCTTGAATGTTGAAGAGGGAAGAACACCATGCAGCCCACGATTGTTCTGGTTGTGATTCACACAAAGAACAAAGGCGCCATTTGTCAAACACAGAGAGTTGTGTAGATGGATGAAGGCAGAATATGATATATAGACATGGGAATGTGTGAAATCGAGCTCGTCAAACCGACGTCACAAGAACCGACTTCACGTGCTTTTCTTTTTTCACCTGTTCGCTCATGCACCCGGACAAAGGAACCCAACACTTTTTCGACTCCAGACATCAGTCGACGCCGCTGCACGGAGCACGGCACGATGGACAGAGCAACACAGCAGCAGAGCACTGTTGGTGTCGTGCATCCCTTCTACTTCACGTCGTGCCATGCCGAAGCTCTGGAATGCTTGTCATTGGGACACATCGGCCTATCTGCCAGTCGGAAGCCGTCCATCGAGAAGAGCCACTTGGCCAACAGTGGAGCCTGGAGCCTCTTGTATGTATACCTCTCGAACATAGAGCAATATAGACTAGAGCCTTTCCTCAAGTCATCACAACGATCCGATGTAATATGTACACGTGTGTCGCCGCAATGAGTGACCGGTTGTAACCTTCGTGCTTTGGGGTTTCTACACCTGTTATCTCCTTGGCTTCATCAGGCAGCCTTGTCCTCCTTCTTGGAGCAGGGCTACTTTGATGATTTAACTGTGATGAACGAGGAGGGTCATGAATTGATGAAACCCAAACTGCGGCCGGGTGGCGCAGATACCTCGGAAGATTGTCAGAAGGAAGACCGTTTGCTCACCGCACGGCAAGAGCGCCTCGATGCCGACCTGGAGAATTTGAGGAAACAGTTTGAGCCAAAGTTGACTCCTGAGTTGGTTGAGTGAATGTAGACTCTTGATTCATGAACCTTACCCCCTAATTTGGATTGTAAAGCCTGAATCAAGATTCTACATTTGACATTAGTCAATTTTTGCATTATGTTTTTCTTGTTGCCGCTTCGGTATCTCAGAGGCTTCAACAGCGGAACATGCCGTGAATTTTGGAAGGTAAGCTGTCTGAAGCAGTCAGCAATGTCAGCTTTCCAACCGCGGGTATTGGTAGCAGAGCTTGCACTATCGGAAACATTATATAAGGGTCATGAAGGGTTCGATTGCACCACCGGAACGAAGATTGATGCAAACGAATGAACACTGCAACACATTCGGCAGTTTTTGTGGCGTAAGGATTACCACTGCAGAGATCGATGGCGAGGACCCTTTCCAAGCAACGTGTCCTGGAAGAATCCTCGATTGAGCACGTTCGGCAGCCTCGGAAGATTGGGGTATTGCCCGGATTTCGAGCGGAGGCCCAAGGTAAAGGGGAGGCCCTTGGCATGTATCCAAGACGGGGCCCAGGGGGGCTGCAGGGAGCAGACGGGGGAAGGCTTGAATATGGAGACCTTCTAAAGACCCCTGGAAGAAGGACAATAGACAAACACCCATTGGTTGGGTGTCTCCGCATTCAAACCCCATGTGTTGTCACGGAACTTTCCCATCGATACACACCCTCTGCAAGCCTTTGCTCCAGCTACCTGAACTTCATGGGTCCGGTCTGAGGTTCCCAGAGGCGCCCAAGTTCTTCAAGCGCGGCGCCAATGTGGAGATCCGAAACCCTGAGAGGACTGGCAGCAACGGGCTTTTAGCCTGCCTCAAGGAGAGGTTGGTGGTTACCTTGGGCCGGATTCGTTCTGGGGGCGTTTCGAGGTGATGGGATCTGCGGTCCAGCGGGAGAGATGTCCAGATCCACTTTCATAGGATCAGAAAGAGCGACTTTCAATTCACAGGTCACTTTGGCCAGCGAAATCTCCAGACGGCCAGCTCTGCTCCTGCAGGAGGAAGGGAATAAATGGCAGCTCTGTCAACAAAAGGAGCTCTCAGAAGATGGGGTCGATTTCCAGTGCGACGACAAACGCTCGGAGGATTTCCATTGGAAAGAGGGTGACACTGCAGCTCAGCTATAGGACGTTTGGTTTCAGCATTTTGACAGTATTGATGTTATTGGTTTCTTGTCATTTGCACCTTAATGTAGATGCAATGCACTCGAGCACTACAAAAAGAACCTTTGGCAGGAAGCAGTTCAGGCCACCTGACCTTACTGTTGGCTGAAAAAATTGGACACCCAGAGATTTTGAGTTAAGTCGCCCACCTCACCGATTTCGGAGTTGAAAACTTACTGTGCCCGACCGTGCCCTACCCCGCGTTTTTCAGCTCCAAAAAGGTGAAGTTCTTGGGCACCTGCATTGAGCCCAGACCCTTGAAGAAGGTGCTCCTCAATGCCGAGACCAACTACCTGCCCTGTGTCTACCCGGATGGCGACATCCCCGAGGACGACGCGGCGGCCGCGGCCGCCGCCGCGGCGCTGCCGGGCACTGCCGAGGGCGCAGCCGAGGGCGCGGCCGAGGTTGCAGCACAGCCACCCGTGTGACGGCCGGACAATGCCTCTGGCCTGCTTCTGTCAAAAGGGAGACTGCTTCGACGCCAAGTGGGACCTCCGCGAAGGGTGGGTGCAAAGTGGAACTTGATGTGGAAAAGAGTACCAGTAGGATGGAAGCCTGTCGTGTGGTGGTTTGAGTTGAACCGATTAATGTCACGCATACACTGTAAATGTAATTGTACATCGGGTCCATGTATCTAGGCTTTCACGCAACAAAGGATGCTCATGTCATGTTGCTGAAAAAGCCTGGAGTTTCCGCATCCTTGAGACGCGAGCACATGACAAGTCTGACAAGCTGCAGCTTGACACAGCAGATTCACAGCATATCAAAGCACCAAAACGGGTGACCATCATCCATCCCCCGCTTCTTCGCCGGTGCATCGTCCAAAAACCACCTCGCCGTTGCCCATCGTCTTCGCGCATGAGTCAAGTCCCGTGGGTCGGCCCAGGATACTCTTCTTGCTCGAGAGCAAGTACGACGTGCTCACCGAGGTGCCGACGACGAGCGGGAGAACGACGCTTTCACCACGGGAGAACGACGTGTTGGTCCCCCGCTTCGGGTTCGTTGGAACGGGAGGAGTTCAATGGGAACGAGCATGGGAGTGTTGAGAGCAGACAAGCAAGGAGAGGGAGAGGGGGAGAGAGAGGGAGAGAGGGAGAGAACAAACGAAGGCAAACATAGTTGTTGAGCATGTGTCCCTGCTCCGAAAGGAGTCCAGAGGGGATATATAGTTTGAATATGCCCGATACCGGCCAGATACCCATCAAACCAACAGGCTATTGTGCACTCCACCTCCTTGGTTTTCTAGACTCTAGACAAGAGCTTCTGAGCCTTAAACCTCCAGGTCTGTGCGGAATATGAGGATTGGAAGGAGGCCACTTCAGCGGCTGACTTCGATCTCCTTTGGTGCGACACCGCCTGGGACCTCGATCATAGTGAGCCCGAACTCTGGGGCATTCTTTAAATCAACCGCTGCCTGTGGATTGCCTTTCTTGGGAGATGTGGCAACTGAAAGCTGACTAGAATCCTTTCTGACTGTTTCCCAGCCAGAAAGATGCATTGGCTGTTAGGATAGGCACTCGTCATGGCTCTATAGTAGTTACTGTACACGTTCAGAGATGTTCGTTCATGGCTCTGTTGTCGAATCGGCATAGAGACCTCCAACCATTTCCGACCTTTTCCGACCGCAAAACACGTGGCATTGAGTCGACGGGACGGCAAGTGACGGCATCGCATGCGACGCAGAACCGCACTGAGGCGATCCCGGCGGATCGTTTCATGAAGTTGAAGACGTTTCAAAAGATGAATCACTTCGCCCGGCACACCCAGACGTCGGAAGCATCGGAAGCACATGAAGTGGATCGGAGCCAGCTCCGAGGATCGAGGGAGTTCAGAACTTGTGCGTTTCACGAAGTGGTTCAGAACTTGTGATGAAAGGTCCAATGAACACATCTGTTGGGATGAGTACAAAGGTTCCATGTTTGGGTACAAATGGTTCCATGTCTTCAGTTTTTTTGACACGAAAACTTCATGCAACTGCACAGTCTCGATGGAGTCGAAGCCGCCTGCCTTGATGCGAAGCGATTTCGACCGGGCTGAGGTTGGGATGAGTTCAATCACCCGAAAGAACAATTTAGGCGATTTCAACCGGGAGGTGGAGATTGGACGGAGTCAGGTACATACAGCTTCAACGTCGTAGTGGAAGCTGAAGTCGCTTGCAGTGCACAACCAAAAGCAGTGAACGCACTGAAAATAACACCCAACAAGGCTCTAAAGCTCCAAAGCCTCCTGTTTTGTGCAAATCGCGACCTGCAGGGTGGGCGACCCGCGGGAGGGGGGAGGGTCGGCGACCTGACCTTGTTGAGACCTCGCCAGGGCGGAATCTGCTGAGAATGAGGAAGCAATTTCCTAAGGCCGTGGGCTGCCCCGTGGGCAGACGCGCGCGCGCTCCAGGTGGCGCGGTCCAGAGGTAGATTGGAGGTCCACATTCTGCAGTGGGATGGCTCTTCAATGCTTGCACACACACACACAGAGAATGTAGATGTATATAGATGAGTAAGGTAGAACAAGACTCAGCCGCATAGTTGTTCCTTCGGGTCTTTCAACCGTATTCAGGCTGGAATGGAACAGTCATTTTCCCCTGGTTGTACCTGCCATTGCAGCGTGTGCGATCAAAAAAAGGAGCCAGAGAAACTTCGCACACTCTTGAAGCTTCAACGGATCAAGTCATTTTGTCGGGAGAGGCCAGCGTTTTATGACCACCCGCCTTCGAGAAGGTTCCCTTCGTGGCACGTGCCAGGAATACCGCTTCTTCCCAGACACATGGATCCTGCCCACCGACATGTCTGATTTTAAACAACAGTCTGGCACTGAGGGAGTGAACATAGAGGCCATGAGGTCGGTGTAGAAAGAGGGAGCAGTCGTGGGCAATAATGGAGGCAATAAGGGTCAGTGACCGGCATCGAGCAATGTGGGTCAAGAGTCATGAGGTGTATACAATCGCGGGCCAAGAGAAAGGTCAAGGTGTTGCAAGGATTGGCAAATCGGGAGCAACGAGAGAGTCAAGCGGGAGCAGGGCATGGGGGGTGGGCCAGGTGCATCTCATATGCCACATGCGTCCTTGCCCAGGTTTACAAACGTGAAAAAGCAGACCTTCATCATTAAGCCAGACAATGGCTGCCAGGCTGCTCTCGCCGTGAGCCGAAAGCTTCGACCCAAAAAAATGGTATCTGCGGGGATCTTGTGGACATCTCACGAGCGAAGTCTCCATTCATGAGTCTGGAAAGAGCTTCTGTGGCTGCTGAATGGTGTATCCCTGAATCAGACCGCGGTACGCGTGTACTGACCTCTTCAGCCCACCCGAAGTACTTAGACTCAAACGAGCACCACAGTACTTGTGGACAAGTTCAGGCCGTGCAGGACGCGCGTCTTTGGAGATTTTTCGCACCGCGCCATGCGATCTCTTGTGCTGCTTTTTCTCGACCGCCAGGGCAAGGGGATCTTCTTAATCCGAGATGTGGAGAAGGTGCCGGTGGACTTCTCCTCCACCTTTGTGGCACAAAGGCGTTGCGGCTGTAGGTTCTTTAGGCGAAGATTGGAAGCAGAAGAGAAGTAAGTGGCCGTAGCGAAGAACTACGTGGTCATATCTAAGTAGTAACCAAGAAAGCTGTTGCCTACTATATAAATGCACACAAACCCTTCGCATGATGGATTTGGTTGCTAGAGTTTTAGAGAGACATGGAGAAACTTAGTCATTAACAATTTTCTGCAGATGGGCCTGATGCGAACAGCTGCTGAAGAGGTATATCAGCAAGCCATTGCTCTTAGATGGCTACAAATTCGACCTCCGACTTTATGTCCTCGTTTCTGGCTGTGATCCCTTGAGAATCTTCTTGCACAGGTGCGTTGCGTGCGTGGGTGGTTTGGATTCTAGGGTGGGAGTGGCAAGCAGGTGGGAGGACATGTGCAGAGCTGCAGATCCCGGATGAAAGACCAGCGGAACCCGCTTTGTTCGGTGGTTGAAGCCTAGTGGCCATGACCCGTGAACTCTTGTTGCTGAAGGGAGAGCGGAAGATTCCTTCACAAGTCTTGAGGTTTCATGTGAGGTCCTCCATGTGTTCCCTCCCCTCCCGGTCCTGATCAATGGTGCGACCGTGCAGGAAGGGACTGGTGCGATTGGCCTCTGAGCAATATGACTGGATCTCAGCGATCTCAGCGGGATCGCAGCTCCGTTTCAGCGGGATCGTCGACGTTGGGAATGGATCTCAGCTGATCATCGACGGAACATCGAGAGCCCATCCTACCCAACCCAACCCAACCCATCCCGGGCCTTACGAGTCACCGGCGCCGTCTGAACAAGACGGGGGAGGGAGCAAGGACAGCCATCCGCAAGCTGGGCGGACATCACCTGTGTGGGACACAAACAGCATGATAAACACCCATCCGAACAGGTGTTTGTTCCGTTTTCGCCTCATGCAATGAGATTCAGCCGGACTGAGGTTGAACCCACCAAGAACAACCTGCGCCTTGGCAGCGGAACTTCGAGGATGCGAACACGAGAGTTGGCAGATCTCGGGTGTTTGGAACAGCTTCGAGCAGATGATTTGGTGTTTTTTTCTTGTGATGCGCCTTTGCGCAGTTTCTAGTCGTTTGTGCCCACTTTGGGTCCCAATCATGTAGTCTGCTTTCATCTGGAAGGTTTGGACCAGAACCAACCGTTCAATGCTATGGGTGCTCTTGCAAATGCCATGGACCCAAAACTTGGAGGAGCTCAGAAGATTATTCCGACACAGCTGGACAGGTCAGAAGTCATGGTGCACTTGACCAACTATGCCATCAACAAAGCAAATCCCAACTTTGAGGAGACTGGGGTCCAAATGGTCAATCTCCGCAAGTCCGAATACCCTGCATCAGTCGTTGAACTTAGGCAAACTACACACGTTTAGATGATTGTTTGTAGATTGCCAACCTACAGCTAGAATAACAGATGCTTGCAAGTCAGAATGCCTATTGGATTGGTTGTAAATTGATAATCTACAGATGTTGAGGGGTTGTATGTAGTTGATTCCTTCTTGATTGGCTGGAGGTTGGCAAGCTATAGCTTGTTTGAACGTCGTCAACTCAAAGCTGGATTGATTGGCTGTAGGTTGGCAACCTAGAGCAAATCGAAATTCCAGGTTAACTCGCTTTAAGTTGGCAAACTACCAGGGTTGGAATGCAGGTGATGCCTGCTTCTTTAGTTGTGGTTGGCAACCTACAGCTAGAATGACAGATGTTTGCATGTCAGAATTCCTGCTTGGTTGCAAGTTGGCAAGCTACAGATGTTGAGGGGTTGGGATGATGAAAACAAGATAAATCGGTGATTCCTTCTTAATTCGTTGTAGGTTGGCAACCTAGAGGTAAGAATGATTGATTGCGGAATTCCACGTTAACTTGCTTTAAGTTGGCAAACAACCAGGGTTGGGAATGCAGGCGATGCCTGCTTCTTTGGCTGTAGGTTGGAAACTTACAGCCAGAATGATTTCTTTTGGAGTGCAAGTGATGCCGGCT